TGCACGCTTTAATTGAAAGACAGACAAAGATAAAAAGCTTTATATGCCTGATCAATGATATACAGCTTTTAGATACATACACAGTTATTGAAGTGTCTCAGGATTTAATAAAGGACTTCAAATCAAAGTCAAAACTTATAAACAACTGGACAACTACTAATGATGGATCTATCTATCTATCTAAATAACTCTAATGGAGCAGAAGATAGTGATTCAGACTGATTTTTGATTCGTTCAACCTTTAATATTTTTATTTATTTTGTTTAACCTTATAGAAATTTTTTGAGCGTTAGAATTTCCTAGATTTTTAGATATTTATATTATTCATATCTATTATTTTTATTAATATTGTTTAACGTAAGTTACCATTTTTAGTTTCTGTTATTTTTATTGATGTTTGTTACTTTTCAAGAAACTTTCATGATACAAAAACGGGTCGGATACAAAAACTACAAAAACGGGTCCTACTTAGTATAAACGAAAAATACATTGTGATTCTTTAAATGTGTTGTTTTGTTAAATGAGACTACTTCTTCCTAACCTTTATTAATTTCGTGAGGTATTCGAAATACCTAAAATGAGTAATTAAAAAGCCTCGATTAATTATATTAGTCCAGTATACGTTGAGGTTTTAACTACTAACATAGGTAAGTACTTTCCTAGTATAATGAGTCAAGTGATGTAATTTCAACATGTTATTATTAAGTGGGACAAAAAAAATCGAAAATAACCAAAAGTAGTATGATATTAATAAAATGATTATCATATTTCGTAATATTTCCGAGTAAGTCATGGATTTTCATGTACAACGTACATGAATATAACTGGTAGTTAAACCATTTTACTATTCAGGCCCGCCCGTGTATAATGAGTCATGTACATAAAATATCATTTAAAAACAAAATTCAGCAAAATCATGTTATACCAAAGGAAGAGCTTTCAATCTTTATTAAAAAAAACATTTAATTTATTCCGAATTAGTTTGATTTCATTAAAATATAAACAATTTGCATTAAAACGGCTCTCCTATAAAATTACTAAAATGTTAGTTGACTCAGTATACTTAGGAGGTATCGATATTTCCAATATTGGGAATTACTAGATGTCTTCATTAAAATATTTAGCTTTACTTCGCACCAGGCACTAAAGCTACATCATATATGCTTAATTAATCCACAATCTCAGATTGTAAACAATCTGAAATCAGACCGTGACAGTCGATCTATCTTCTATCTGCATCCCTACTATCCCTTCTATCCCAACCCTACGAAGACAATCCATTTTTGGCGACGGATAACATGCTCTTTGTCGTTCCATTTTACCGAGTTAACACTCATATTAAATAAAGTAAATAAAACCGTACAAATAACATTAAAATATACATGTCTATATTTAAAACATAAACAGCTTTTTTAATTATTTAAAAAACTGGTGTAAGTTAAAATCTGTTAAAATAATTAACTATTGGAATCGAGCTTTCGTCAACTGTCATTTTCATACAAAGGTCTATCCACAGACACCGATCCGACCTCCCATGGATAGCTTGTATCGACAGATGGCTATAATTACAATCCTTCGATTGGTTATTGGCGAACTTGTTACAACAGTTTTTTCTATCTCAGGTAGTCAACAATGGATTGAGATAGGTCATTGGGTTCGGGCGTAAGGCATTAGTTTTTGAAGTTATACTTCTTTTTGCGCGTTACGGAAAAATGATGAGTAAACTTTTACGATGCGCGCGCACACCACCATCACATAAATCCGACACCTTGAAGTTAGCTATAGTCAATATTTTAGTTTTTTTGAAGAATTACTTCTTTTGGAAAAATGATGTGTAAATTTTTTTTTCTATTGTTAGTGCCGTTTTTTCTACAAACGTAGAACAAATTTTTTTTAAAGATTTTAATCATGTTACGCCAAGAAAGTATAACTTTCAACGCGTGTACATAAGAACACACGTTTTATTTAATTTTTAATAAATGGATCGTTGCCATCGCGTCAGTGTAACAATGATGTATGAAATTAATTATTATGGGAAATTGTTAAAATGATATTTCTAGACTAAACATCATGAACACGAGCCGTCAGACAAAACAACAAAGTAACTTCGAATCAGTTTACTAGAGTACTACTTCCCGAGTCGCTAATGAACACTTGTAGCTTTACCATGGGTTTAGCACTAAACACTAACGTGATACACCTCTATATCATCGTAAAATAATATTATATACAATATTTGTATTAAATCTAGCCTCTGGTTACGGGGAAAAATACCATTCAACGCAAACATATTCTCAGTACTTGAAAACTCATGGTTCAGGTACAACTCGAATACAAGTCAACAGAACTTGTATCTATTTTCTGGGTCAATTTCTAGTGGATTTAGTTTAGTTAAATTTTAAATGTTCGGCGAGGTTTTAGAAGAAATATATTACACAGTTAAAACAAATATTGAGGCCGGGTATTGTAGTGCTACTATTGGTCTATGCAACATGAACCGACAAATTGAATTATGTAGTTACATCGCCAACGACCCTTAAATTGAATGATATTTGCAGACTGCAAATGGGTGCGACCAAACATTAAGTAATTCTAGATCCTGCCAAGTTCCAACTCCCAGCTAATAGTTACAAAATTACATTCAGATATCGCTCCTTTTCCTTGGAGGTAACCTCAGATCAGAAATTAGCCTTATTTCCTGATAAATAAAATCTACGATTCTTTTTCATATAATCTCTAATATTATCTATATCTAATGATCTAGTCTAATAATGCGATAAAACAGGCAGATGTATTTATTGTATGAGAGACAGAAGCATTATTATGTATATTTACTTGCAGAAGTTGAAAAACAATACAATGCCCGTCAAAGCAAGTCCGATACAATGTTACCTAAAATGTCTAATGCAAACCATAAAGATATACTGACCTTAAAAGCGAAATTCGTTATTTCAATTGTGAATTGTGATCACAATTGAAATAACGAATTTCGCTTTAACGATTTCTTTGATTTAACGTCAATATAAAAAAGGGCGTAGAGCGGTCAAGAATCTATACGCCATTATTTTAAATCGCCGAGTTTATGGTTTACAAGGTAAATACTAAATAGTCAGAAATCCCACCATAATTATATCGATATCAAATTAACAATGCAGTAGGTAGTTATTATAATATATATAAAAATAAATGTTGGTAGCATCAATGCGAGGGTTTAAAATCACCACATTTATTTATTCTAACAACGTGATTGAACGGAAGTAGGTATATACCTAGTCCAGCCATAAGTCCTGTTACTAATGAAAATGCATATTTTTAAATGAAGTAATGTAATATTATTAAAATTTATATCTATATATTTATTAGTCTCAGAAGAAAATATTATATTTGAAATGGCCACCTTTGGCTTTTATACAGGCCTTTAGTCTATTAACTATTTGGCCACGAATGGATATACGCACTGTTTCCAAGGGAAATTTCGCCACTGATTGCTCCAAAGATGTTTAAGAGACTCAATGTCTCCGTATCGTTTAGGACATGGTTCCTCTAAACAAACCATAATTTAAAGTCTAAAAGGGTTGAGATTTGGGATAAATGAAGGCCAGTTTTCAGCTCTTAAAAAATCCGGAACGTTGGTTTCAAGCCAGGATTGGGGGTTCGTGCCTTGTGACCAGGTGCAGAATCCTGCTGGAAAGTCCACGATATATTTTAAAAAAGTGCAATGCTGAGAGGTTTCACAACATGATCCAAGACTATCTTGATACTCTTTGGCTGAAGTTTTCACTCCTTTTTCACAAAAATGTAGTTTTGTGACTCTTTGATAAGACACGCCCCACCAAACCATCACTGCCGCGGGATGATGACCACGTTGTACCTTTTCAACCACTTGAGCAGCTTCCATTAGAGCTGTGTGTGTATATTTTATCATTTTGCTTGTTGTAGTGTTCTTTAATCGTGAAAATTTTTTCATCGGTAAAGAGGATATTTCTGTGCTTTTCACTTTATGCAACATCACTGCAATCTTATTTTCTTCAACACCCCATTCCATATTGTAATTTGATAATGAACACGAATAAATATGTGAAATGGCGTAAAATCGAAAGTTTTTAAGATAATATACCTATACATACCTCGTGTTCCAAATTCAAAATAATAAAAAGGTTTTTATAAACCTAACCAACATTATTTATGTCCAGACTATTACAAATATCGGTTCGTCTCAATCGTCCTAATCTTAGCTTGGTAATACTGCTACTAAATTAATTGTAAGTAGGTATGTATATAAAAAAAAAAACAGTAGGTATATATTTTTTATGGTTTCGTTTCTAGGTGAAATGATTTGTTTAATATATTTAATAGATATATGTATTTAAAAAAGTAAACTACATATAGTATGGTAGATAAGAATAAAAAAATCGCGAATGGAACCACGCCTCTATATTTTGGACTTGAGTAACGCAGAGCCTAATTTTGCATTTTATGACGTAAAAGATACAAAAAATTTATTGAACTAGGTACCAGTTACTTACACGCAAAGCGAAGAACAAAAACGGGCCATGACACTTCTTAATTGATTATTTCAGTGTAAATAGGATCTTCTTGATATTTACGTGACTCATCAACAATTTATACAACTAACGTTTCTAACCCACAGACGCCTCTAAGCACCTATATACACTATTATACGCATATTTCCGCAACCTAACTAATATCTAGGATTGTTTCTTACACAGACTATTAAAACTCCGTCAAAGTATACTAGGCCCACTTGAAAGGCAAAGCGATACGATAACGTTACGCTTGCACTGCGATAGCGTCCCTATGACGTAATTTTTCCGTTTCGTGGGGATACGCGGTCGGAATTTAGGACTTACCTGTCCTCATAAGTAGGGGACACTTCTCCAGAATCTCTTTGGGACGCCTCGCCATCCATGTTTACTGGTTAGGGTCACTCGTGGGTTAATGACCGCAAAAAGCGCGCGCCGACCGTGTACGGGGAGCGGCTAGATGGATAAGACACAAGAACTCCCTCCGTGGGCGATCACTAGGACTGACTGTCGGTCCGGAGTTTGCACTTTCCGGGCTCGCGAGTGCCGAGCAGTGAGGTGAGGTGGGGAGGGTAGAGGCGTGGGAACGCGGCCCCCGCCCGCGTCGCTTGGCAACCGCCGCACGTGGCCTACGCCTCCCCCGCACCTCACTGCCGCCATACTACGACTTCACAATCCTCATAGCCGCTACTTTTTGCTGGGGACGCGCAAACAATACCCTGATATCTCCAAAATGGACTCAAATTCAAGGCCTCCAGCAGCAGTCGCCAAGTTGGTTCAAAAGTTTAGGTCTCGACCTATTGGTTAGAAACTGTCAATCTCCGACAGATTAGAAGTTTATTATTGATAAGAGCTAGATAACATTGTGTTTCTAAGTAGGTTGTAGATACTTAAACGATTGTAGGTAACTAGCTCATGTTGATAAATTTAGAATTAGACGTTAATTTATCGTTAGCATAAATGTTATTGATAAAGTTTAATACAGGGGTTTAGTATTATGATAAATTATTATACCTAACCATAAAGTTTAGTTCAAGTACTGAAGTACTTGAATATAATACCAACGGGTCTGTGGCTTGCTTGCTATAAATAAAACAATAGGTAGTAATTAATTAATCTGACACACGCATAGAAAACTAGCAAAATTTTATTCAGAATGTTAAGTAATATTGAAAAAAAAATTTAAGCAAACACCTGCCATCACAGCAAAATATCTAATGGCAATTTCAGACGTGTAGTAAGTACATAATATTGCATAGAATATTGCTTAGGTGACATAGCAAATGCAACAGACAGCTCACAAAGGGGATATTTTATGAATCCCCCTTGCTATAAAGATCATTAAGATTTTCTAGGTAATCTGGGATAATATGTGCATGAAAAGGCAGTTCAAAGGGCCTTTAGATGCGGAATATTCACTCGAAGAGTGAACTTCCTTTTTTAGAAATTTTTCTGTTGCACGGAAAGGCCTTTAGAGCTCAACACGGGCTGTTTGGCGAGCTCTGCAGGAGCGAGTACTAATTATGTCTAGGAGATCCTAGGCAATGGCTGATTTTTGTTGCCATGTACATAATATAACAAATCCGTCTGAGTCAATTATGAATCCACTAGAATGTTTGGTACAGACTACAGATTAAAGATTTCGTTAACACAAAACTTGCATGCATTATGGCTCCCGCCTTCATGGCTTAGTGAACGAATATCCCGAATAACCGGGGTTCTATTATTCCTAGTGCAATACTTGATTCTGGTCTACAAGTAGGTAACCTAAATATACTAGTACCTATGTCCATTTCTTTCTATAGATATATAGACTGTATATTTATTAAGTAATGTAGCGCTCCGACGGAGCCATGGACGCTGCAATTGATTAGTTTCATTAATGTTTTAATTTTTAAAGCATGCGATCCTTTGTGATTAGTACATCACACACAACGCAAACCTACATAACGCAACCCAACTTTCTTCGTCCAACGCTTTTGCTCCTTTCGAGGCCCTTACAACTTTAACCACTTTGATGAAAACAAAATTTTCACTAACGTTTAAAACTCACTACATATATTCACTAAAAATCCTCAACAATATCTTGTCAACCTGTCCTATGCTGATACAGAAAATATTCTTATTAAGCAACAATAGTTCATTTATAAACTGTGTAAAACTGATTGTCAAATAGAGTTAAAATGTCAAAGAGACTGGCTGCCCACGACACAGGGAATTCTACTCTGAGGGCTAGTGCACTTTATTTTCCCTAAATATCCTTTTGATGTGTATAATAATGTTTTTCTTTTTAACTAGCGATAAAATAGTATACTTATATAGTAAGTATATTAAATTTTTAAGCTAGTAAAATGCACTTTATCCAATTTATCAAATAATAAAAGCAATCTTGCGACCGTAATCAAACATAGCGCAGAGAATGTGGGTTAGTATGACTTCAATATGTTAAAAACTTATTTGACTTACGAGAATCGCACATTGTGCTAAGTATCGACTCTGAGGGTATAAGGGCAAGATTTATTCGAATATATTCTATTTAATTAGCAAAGACAGTAATTCGATAATACTTCACCTACCTTAGAATCAATGTGCCTGATGGGTAAGTCTCAAAGCGATATCGTCGTCGCCGTTACTTCATGTACCTACAGCTAGGACTAACCTTCTGAAAAGGGCTCATATGCTTCGGTGTATTAATTATGTTAACGAAGAAATAAAAAAAAAGGGCCGGAGAGTTTATTGCCAGTTCTTCTCGTCCGTTCTACGCACTTGATTTGAGATCTGGCAGTAAATTTACATTGTGCATTCAAAATCATTTATGCATTACCTAAATGAATAAATGATTTTGAATGTTGAATTTTTGATTTATTAATATTTGAAATATGTATTTATACGTTAACGGAACATTGTCCGTTAAGTGACCTGTCAAAAGTTCTATTATTTGTTAATGCCTATAGTAGTTAATTTCTTGCATTTTTTATTATGTAATTTTGTTTTTCCTGATAAATTTCTTATATTTGCTTTTTTTTATTCGGCTGTAAATTTTATTTACTTATTGTGCAGTCTTGTAAATTAAGGGTCTTCTTAATTAATGAATGATACTAATAGAACAAGCCAGACCTTCGTCATTTAATAAAAGCTGAAAGTTCTTCTGTGCATGTCCCCTACACAGGTAAGAACGACCAGGGACTATAGAGTTTGGGTAGTGGTTACTTGGGCAGGTAATAGGTAGTAAAGGTGTATAAAAAAAGTACCTTAAATTCGTGAAAGTATAAAGCTCAATTTTTTATATTTTATTAGGGATAACTTTAGAAATCTCGTCATCCATTGCCAGACACTTATAACAGTTGCTACCCCCTGCCAGACACCCCTAAACTTTAATAAATTATAATTATACTTTCGTTAGAGTATAAAAGCTAAATTTTATATATGTTACTTGGGGACCTATGCAAAACTTACCTCAATAGCCGGACAGTTTTAATGGTTTTTACACCGTGCCAGACACATTTAAAATCCGCTGTTGGTCCTAATAAAATATAAAAAAATACTCTAGCTATATATAGCTTTATACTTTAACGAATTAAGGGTACTATTTTATACACCTTTACTACCTGTTACCTGCCCAAGTAACCACTACCCAAACTCTGTCCCTGGTCGTTCCTACCTGAGTAGGGGACACGCACAGAAGAACTTTCAGCTTTTATTAAATGACAAAGGTCTGGCCGTCGTGGGCTCTTAGGATATAAGGCTAATTAAAAACCAGAACTAAAATTAGTTGTTATTTTATGGAAATAATGAAAATAAAAACATTATTAACATTATAATATAAAAAATAATATAACAAATTCATTATTATAATAATTGCTAACCAATATGCACATTTTCTAAAATAGTCAACTAACTAGGTCTTAGCAAGGGCTTGGTTCTGTGCCCTTATAAAAATACCAAACCAACAAAAAAAATAGTAATTTTGTTACTTAATTGAATAATAATGATATTGATTTGTATCGGTCTCAATGGCTCTCTCCCGTTTCTTCGACGTAAACGCTGCACATCACGTGACGTGCCGCAAAAATTTTACCCTCATAAAAAAGAAGAAGAAAGCGCATAAAGAAGTTTCACTACAAAAACTTGACATGGAGCAGTCCTAGTTCACGTTATCGACTTACCTCTACCGTTCTTTACTTCGGTGCTCGCATTTACATGCGGAAGTCTACTTTTAACAAATTGTGAGAGATTTAAGGCTAAATTAAAGTACCTAGTTCTTTCAAGTCCTTGCAAATAGACCTTTTAAAAAAAATTAATAAGACAATAAATGGAAAACTCCAATGCACTATGCCCTGAACTTGTATTTAGCCACTCAACAGGTTGTTCATTCTACACTTCTGCTATAGGCGTATGTAAATTTTGTTTGTTCTTTTTCAGCCTGTCGCCTGTCACTTGCCTAATCAATTTGACTAAGAAGATAGATACGATAGGGATAACGTGATTGCTACAGTTTTCTAAAAACGACATGGACTTTCGTATACCTTTACATACATTTATAACAAGTAAAAATCCATCGCAATACTCAAAATACTTAGCGGCAAAAATGATGCGTGATAGTTAATATGGAAATGTCACAATATCAATCTGTCGCGCGGTGCGCTGCTGGGCCGAAAGCTGTTTTTGTGGTGTAAGGGGGCCACATTACTTTTGAATTGGAAAAGGTCAAATCCCCAAGAAGCAATTCCACAAGGGAAATACCTGTTACTTATTGAAATGCAATCAAATTGATATTTGCTCGGAAGATAACGTTCTGGTACAAATAACGGGTTCGGGGGCTACAGGCTTTCGTGTCGCATTGACTATTAATAAGGGAAATAGATTATATTCTCTAAAGTATAAACATTAAACAAACATTACATTACATAACATTTCTCTTTAATTACGTTTTAACACAGTGGATAGCATCATGATTTTAAGTATCCAACAGTTATTTTCGAATCATCACGATTTAGGAGCCTTCAAGAAAAGAGCGTCCATTCTCTCAAATGTCGGCAACATACCACAATGTGACCAAAGGCTGTTAGCGCTAATTTATAAAATCATTAATATCATGTCTAGTCATTACTTGAATGTATAATAATGTATTTAATGACAATTTTAAGGAATATCTTTGGAGAAATCATAGTTTTTATATCTGCTGCAATATTAGTGAAACCACAGTTATCCTTAAATTAATTTATACATTTAAAAAAACACGAGTGCTGGGCGGGCGGGAGTCGCCCAAGAATCACGCACGCGAGCGTATAAACATCGAATTGGCAGCGTGGGCCGTCGGGGATAATCGAACATCATTCATAAAGAAATCCTTTAGCTCGCGACAAAATTTTACTGTCTTATCAGTTTTGCTTATTATTTAAATCAATTTAAATCCCGAGGCTATATTCATCCTGTTTTTTACAGTTTTGATATTCCGTTGTAGAAAATACAGAATTCTTGTTTTTGAAAAACGGAAAATTTATGAGTTACAGAAACTGTATTACGGAAGCCGCCGCAAAGCATCAAAATTCCTTTCTAAAACATAGGTACACTACATACTTCTAAACCCATTCTAGCAAACTTTACATACACCACTTCTAAGGAATCCTATGTATTATAAATTGCTAACATCGCTGCCA